AAGTAACACTACTCACTCCCCAATTTTTTTTTAATTGTATGAAGGCATGGGTTACCCTAGTTTGAATATAATTTATGGACTCAATTTTACATTATCATTGAATTAACAATTAGCTCTATTTAAAATCAAAATCAAAGATTAATCTAACAAAATAATGAATTAAATAAAATAAATCAAGGTCAAGTAACACTACTCACTCCCCAATTTTTTCCTTTTTTTGGTGAACACCTCCCCCCCCAAAAAAAAAATCATTAGCTTTAACTACACATTCTTTCTTTACCAAAAAAAAAAAAGGAAAAAGCATAGGGGGTAAAAAGGGTAAGTTAAAAAGAGAAGCAACCGAGTCCAAACATTGGACAAAATTTTCCGGTGCTTGAGTTTCGGGTGTGAAGCAGGGGCGGGCCCACGTAAATGTGGGCTCTAGACAAAAATTTTACACAAGACCCTATTAATAATTCATGTACTAATACTATATTTCTAGAGGAAAGTTTTTTGGGAGTTGAATTTGGATCGTTCGATTGATTGCGATGTAAGTTGGATCAATCTCGGTCATTCTTATGCTATACTAAGTGAAAGAATTCAAAAAGGGCTAGGTTTTATTAGAATAGTTGACACCCCACCCCACCCCACCCCTTTTCTCAAGCTGGAGCATAAATATCAAATATTTTCAATTTGGAGTAAAGATTAATTAAGACAGATCAAGCAAATAATTTGGTAAGCTATTTGATTTATCCAAAAAGCATTATCATGCATGAAGAATATTAACTAACAAAGCCATAATTATCAATGATCAACTAAAACCATTTACTTCACTTCAAACCAGGGGAAAAGACATGCAAACAAATAAAGAAAATTTTAAGAAGTACAAATGAATAAATCTGTAAAACAAACAAAAAATTTAATTTCATACCTTTTCTTCTTTATTCTTCTTTCTTTTCAAGATCTTCGACCTGTGGTTGTCTCTCATATCCCAATTGCACTTTCAAAAACTTTGTAAATCATATCAAGCTAAAGCAAATAAAAGAACCGATAAAACCATGATTAACACCTCACATAGTATTTGTAATAAAGATGCAAATTGGCACATTGAGATATAGTGACCAACTCTATACATAAATATATATTGCATCAAAGGAATAATGTGTTGTGTGCATGTATAAAGATAGGTAGAGGAAAAGCAAGAGAGACAAAGGGTATACCTTGATCTTGCAAGGGCTTCGTATGTGGTGTCTGTGGGGTCTTCAGTAATGGATAGTTAGGTCGCTGCTGGTGTGACAAAGGGGGGGGGTATGGACGAGATTTTCAACTTCTAGGGGTGGGGGGGGAATTTTTCGGAACTGAATTTGGGCCATTAGATTGATTGGGATGTAAGTTGGATCAATCTTAGCCACTCAACTTCATGCTAGCATCGTTGGAGAGAGAGAGGGGTAAAAAAGGGAAGTTAGACAGAGAAAAGAGGGAGAATTACTTGTAGGGGAGAGAAAGAACAGAGAGCGGAAAAAGAGACAGAATGTCTGACTTGCAAAATGTGCATGATAGAGAAAGGTATGGGCGGGATTTTTAACATTTGAGGAGCAAAGGGTTTTGGGAATTGAATTTGGCCACTCAATTGAATGGGATGTAAGTTCGATCAATCTCAACCCCTTGATTCCATGTCGGCATCGTTGGTGAGAGAGGTAAAATAGAGAAATTAGAGAGAAGAGAGGGACGATTGCTAGTTGCGGAAGGAGAGAACATAGAGTGGAGAAAGAGAAAAAATGAGTGTGTATGCGTGTCTGACTTCAAGATTGTGTGTGATAAAGAGGGGTTTGGGCGGGATTTTTTATTTTTCTGGAGGAAGGTTTTTTGGGAGCTGAATTTGGGCGATTGGATTGAAATGTAATGTAAGTTAGATCAATCTCGGCCCACTCTTGTGCTAAGCTAAGTGAAAGAATTCAAAAAGGGCCATGTTTTATTAGTATAATTGACAATCCTCAAGCTGAAGCATAAAGATCAAATATATCCAATTTGGAGCAAAGGTTGTTGAAGACAGATTGAGCTAATAATTTAGTATGTTATTTGATTAATCCAAGAACATTATCATACATGAAGAATATTAACTAAAAAAACCAAAAAATATCAATGACCAACTAAAACCCTTTACTTTACTTCAAACCAATAGAAAAGACATGCAAACAAATAAAAAAAATTTATAAAAGTTCAAATGAATAAATCTTTAAAATAAACAAAGAAATTCAATTTCATATCTTTTCTCCTTTGTTCTTCTTCTTTTCAAGATCTTTGACTTGTGATTGTGTCTCAAATCCCAACTGCACTTTCAAAGACTTTGTAAATCAAATCAAGCTAAAGCAAATAAAAGAATCGATAAAACCATGATTAGCACCTCACATAATATTTGCAATAAAGATGCATATTGGCACATTGAGATATAGTGACCAGCTCTATATATAAATATATATTGCATAAGAAGAATGAACTCCACCTCACCTTGCTATCCCGAGTGTTGTGTGTATGTGCTATGTACATAGTGTGTTGTGTGCGTGTATAAAGATAGATAGAGGGAGCAAGAGAGACAGAGCGCATACCTTGATCTTGCAAGGGTTTCGTATGTGGTGTCTGTGGGGTCTTCGGTAATGGATAGTTAGGTCGCTACTGGTGTGACGAAGGGGTTATGGGAGAGATTTTCAACTTTCTTTTTTCTTTCTTTTTTTATTTGGGGGGGGGGGGAGAAGAATTTTTGGAACTGAATTTGGGCCATTGGATTGATTGAGGTGTAAGTTGGATCAATCTCAACCACTCAGCTCCATGTCGACATCATTGGAGAGAGAGAGAGAGGGGTAGAAAAGGGAAGTTAGATAGAGAAGAGAGAAAAGAGAGAGAATTGCTAGAAGGGGAGAGAAAGAACAAAGAGCGAAAAGAGAGACAGAATGTTTGACTTGGAGAATGTGCATGATAGAGAAAGGTATGGGCGGGATTTTTAACATTTGGGGAGCAAAGTGTTTTAGGAATTGAATTTGGGCCACTCGATTGAATGGGATGTAAGTTCAATCAATCTCAACCACTCGGTTCCATGCCGGCATCATTGGTGAGAGAGGTAGAATAGAGAAATTAGAGAGAAAGAGGGAGGATTGCTAGTTGTGGATGGAGAGAACATAGAGCGGAGAAAAAGAAAGATAGAGTGTATGTGTGTCTGACTTCGAGATTGTATGTGATAAAGAGGGATTTGGGAGGGATTGTTTACTTTTATTGAGGAAGGTTTTTTGGGAGCTGAATTTGGGTAATTGGATTGAATGTGATGTAAGTTAGATCAATCTCAGCCACTCTTGTGCTAAGCTAAGTGAAAGAATTCGAAAAGGGTCATGTTTTATTAGTATAATTGACACCCCTCAAGCTATAGCATAAAAATCAAATATGTCCAATTTGGAGCAAGGGTTGTTGAAGACTGATCGAGCTAATAATTTAGTATGCTATTTGATTAATCCAATAGCATTATCATACATGAAGAATATTAACTAAAAAAATCAAAAAATATCAATGACCAACTAAAACCCTTTACTTCACTTAAAACCAATAAAAAAGACACGCAAAAAAATAAAGAAAATTTAGAAAAGTCCAAATGAATAAATCTTTAAAACAAACAAAGAAATTCAATTTCATACATTTTCTTCTTTGTTCTTCTTTTCAAGATCTTCAACATATGGTTGTGCCTCAAGTCCCAACTGCACTTTCAAAGACTTTGTAAATCATATCAAGCTAAAGCAAATAACATAACCGATAAAACCATGATTAGCACCTCACTTAGTATTTGTAATAAAGATGCAAATTGGCACATTGACATACAGTGACCAAACTCTATACAAAAATATATATTACATCAGAAGAATGAACTCCATCTCACCAAGCTATTCTGAGTGTGTTGTGTGTGTGTTATGCACATGGTGTGTTGTGTGCGTGTACAAAGATAGAGGAAGAGAAAAGAGACAGAAAACATACCTGGATCTTGCAAGGGCTTCGTATGTGGCGTCGGTTGGGTCTTCAATAATGGATAGTTCGGTCGCCGCTAGTGGGTGACTTGGAGATTGTGTGTGACTGAGGGGGTATGACGTGAGATATTCAACTTTAGGGGGGAGGGGGAAAGATTTTTTGGAGCTGAATTTGGGCCATTGGATTGATTAGGCAGTAAGTTGGATCAATCTCAGCCACTCGGCTCTACGCCTGCATCGTTGGAGAGATAGAGAGAGGTAGAAAAAGGAAGTTAGGCAAAGAAGAGAAAAAAGACGGAGGACTACTAGTAAGGGGAGAGAGAGAATAGAGACGGAAAGAGAGACATAATGTCTGACTTGGAGAGTGTGCATGATAGAGGGGGTATGGTTGAGATTTTTAACATATGGGGGGCAAAGTTTTTTTTTGGAATTGAATTTGGGCCACTTGATTGAATGAGATATAAGTTGGATCAATCTCAGAAATTCGGTTCCATGTCGACATCGTTGGCGAGAGGTAGAATAGGAAAATTAGAGAGAGAAGAGATGGAGGATTTCTAGCTGGGGAAGGAGAGAAAATAGAGAGGAGAGAAAGAGGACTATGGGCGGAATTTTTTACTTTTTCGGAGGAAGGTTTTTTAGGAACTGAATTTGGGCCATTGAATTGAATGTGATGTACCCCTCAAAAATGAGCATAAAGATCAAATATGTCCAATTTGAAGCAAGGGTCATTGAAGACAGATCGAGCTAATAATTTAGTCTGCCATTTGATTAATCCAAGAGCATTATCATACATGAAGAATATTAACCAAAAAAACCAAAAATATCAATGACCAACTAAATCCCTTTACTTCACTTCAAACCAATGGAATCTTTAAAACAAACAAAGAAATTCAATTTCATACATTTTCTTCTTTGTTCTTCTTTTCAAGATTTTTGACATGTGGTTGTGGCTCAAGTCCCAACTGCACTTTCAAAGACTTTGTAAATCATATCAAGCTAAAGCAAATAAAAGAACCGATAACACCACGATTAGCACCTCACATAGTACTTGTAATAAAGATGCAAATTGACACATTGAAAGTGACCAACTCTATATAGAAATATGTATTGCATCAGAAGAAACTCCACCTCACCTAGTTATTCCGAGTGTGTTGTGTGTGTGTGTGCTATGTGCATGGTGTGTTGCGTGCGTGTACAAAGATAGATAGAGGAAGAGAAAGAGAGACAGAGGGCATAACTGGATCTTGCAAGGGCTTCGTCTATGATGTCTGTTGGGTCTTTTGTAATGGATAGTTCGGTCGCCGCTGGTGGGGTGACTTTGAGAATGTGTGTGACAGAGAGGATATGGGCGAGATATTGAACTTGAGGGGGAGGAAGATTTTTCAGAGCTAAATTTGGGCCATTGGATTGATTGGGTTTGTAAGTTGGATCAATCTCAGCCATTCAACTCCAAACTAGAGAGCTTTTTAATTTTTAACTCGAGAAGAACCCACGCAGCATAGTTGTTTTAATAGGGTGCCCCCCCACACTCATTCTTCCAACTCCAGACCTATCACCAAAACACAGATAGACAAATCATGAATATGTTGATGCAAATAATATCAAAGTTTGGGACTTCAAAACTATAATTGAAGCTGAAACAAACGACTTATAGCACAAACTCACTTCAAACACAAATCTCTCACGACCATCACCATGCCTAGTCAAATACCTTCCCCACATCTTCTCCACAACCACTTGTAAATCAGCATTTAAGTAATATATCTAAGACCAAAGTTGAAGCAAAAAGTAAATGGGACCATTGGAACCTTCTCTTCTTCTTCTTCTTCTTCTTCTTCCTTTTTTTTTTTGGGCACGGGGGAAGTATCACTATTGTCTAATATGCAATTTTCGCTTATAATAGCACAATGTGATGCTCAGTTCACTGTGTGATGTCCGGCACCGATGGAAGACGAACCCTATGAAGCTGAAGATGAAACAAGTATTACATATCCAAAAACATGTGAAAAGCCTTCTCACCCGTCCATGAATAAAGGTACAATAAATGTGACAAAATAGAAAGTTGATGAGGTGATAAAAAATCAAACCTGTGTTGCTATCCCAGCATGCTCCATCCCACGCACCCACAAAGTATTCTATCCACACATTTTCTGCCACTGAATGATTGTATCCTACATGTTGAAAGAGCAAATAGTAGATTAATTATAAATGAGAAGCCATGCTAAAATGCTAAATAAAAGGAAAATAAGTGCAATTATGAGACCTGGATGGCAGGCATGGCCTATATGTAGATTAATTATAAATGAGAAGCCATGCTAAAATGCTAAATAAAAGGAAAATAAGTGCAATTATGAGACCTGGATGGCAGGCATGGCCTATATGTAGATTAATTATAAATGAGAAGCCATGCTAAAATGCTAAATAAAAGGAAAATAAGTGCAATTATGAGACCTGGATGGCAGGCATGGCCTATATGTAGATTAATTATAAATGAGAAGCCATGCTAAAATGCTAAATAAAAGGAAAATAAGTGCAATTATGAGACCTGGATGGCAGGCATGGCCTATATGTAGATTAATTATAAATGAGAAGCCATGCTAAAATGCTAAATAAAAGGAAAATAAGTGCAATTATGAGACCTGGATGGCAGGCATGGCCTATATGTAGGGCCCCGATAACATTTGGAGGTGGCAGAACCTGCACTCAAACAAGAAATGAAGCTTAGGAAGAACCAAATTCCAAAACTCATATCCAAATTTCAGCCACATAATCTTAGGGTCTATTTAAAAGGGGGAGACATCAAGAAAAGAAGTATGGGGAATTACTTTATGTGAACATTAATTGTGTTGTTACTTCATGTTAACATTAAATTAAGTATTGTCTATCCCGACAAAAGATATACAAGAAAGGGTCTTTTTTTCTTCCCTTCCCTTTCACGTCAATGTTGGAAAAAGAGGAAAATGGCATGCCAATAGGCTTAGAGGAATATGCTGCCTTCCTTTTCTCATTTCCTTTTCCCTTTCCACCACAGTTTACCACATGGAGCATCAGAGAAATTTGGACCCTTCAAAAGGCTTAATGCTTTAAATGCATTTAGTTGGTTTATTAACAAGATGGTTCCATAAAATGAAGAAATCACGGTAATCATCAAGAAAATTTACTGCAGCAATACCTTCAGAAGATGTCAGATATACTTAAAAAATGTCCCAATCATCCAACAAGGGATTGGCTATTGTTTGAACACAGTTGTATTCAACTGGCTATCCGGCTCTTCTACCATCCACAGTATCTACTATGACTTCAAGTAATCGTTAAGCAAAAGAATACAATACTATTGCAATCACAGCGGCTACCACCAAAAGTCAAGAGAGAAACTCATGATCACAAATGGAGGTTTGGAGCTGCTATTATCAGTCACAAAGAACCCTGATTTCTCCCACCATGCATACCACCTAAATGGTAATTATAAAAGTTACGGATTGCATAATGATGAGAAGGACAAAAATAAATTCAAAACTTACGAATTCTCTACTGCACTTGGGCTGTAAGCCTTTGCCATCTGGAAAGAGAGTCGTTTCTTCTCACCAAAAGGTATTTCTGGGTCAACATAACCCTGAGGGTGTTATTCCCCTGCCTCCCTCTTTAAGTTCTTCTTTTCCCTTGTTTTTAAGTTTGGCTGCCACTGCTTTTTGTGCAGCCTTGCGTTGCTTCAATTCTTTCTCTTTTGCCTACCCAAAAAATGTGGAAAGCTATTTTATCATCCAAAAGTATTATCATACAAAAAAATAAATAAATACACCGAGAAAGCCATACATATCAATGACCAAATAAATCCCTTTACTTCAATTCAAACCAATGCTCAAGAAATGAACAAAAATAATTATATATTGCAAAAGTACAACTGAATAAATTTGAAACAAAAAAAAAAAGAAAGAAATTCAATTTCATACCTTTTCTTAATCTTTCTTCTTCTTTTTTTCAAGATCTTCAACCTGTCCACCAGCACTTTCAAAGACTTCGTAAATCATATCAAGCTAAAAAACCCTCTTCTAAACACATATGAAGCTATATTAAAAACTCAATTCCAAAGGCTTTATAAAAAACGCTTCAGAACACTTGTGAAGCTAAAGGAAAAAAACTCAATCCAAAGGTTTTATAAATCATAACAAACTAAAAAAACAATTTAAAGAACCGATAAAACTATGATTAATGTATCACATAGTATTAGTAAGAAAGATGACAATTGACACATCGAAATATGTTGACTACTATATAAAGAAATATAGAAATGCAAAAACACAGACTGAAAAAACTTTTCTCTATGTCGTCAGATTGTGCCTCTGATTCTACCTACAATCAATACAGGGTTTCTCAAATACACTACCTAGGTAAGATACACTTTACAAATCAAACGAAATAGTAACAACAAAATCCCTATCGTTAATAGAGAATCGACAAGTCGAAAATATTACACAGCTTGGGACATTGTACGTTGCTCATCATAGTTGTAGCATTGAAACAAAGCAACAGATCTCTCTCTCTCTCTCTCTCTCTCTCTCTCTCTCATCCTAACGGCTATAATTTAATAAAACCCTAATATAGGGAGCGTGGGATGGTTATAACTTATAACTTAGAAGCAGAAATTAGAAACAGAAACAAAGCAGAAATCAGATTTCAGAAACAACAATTAGAAGCAGAAATTAGAAACATAACCAAATAGTTGCTCTAGGCTCAGTTGCATGGACCCATGGAGTTCTTTGTTTTCTGGGGTTGCAAACCTGCACAAATCAAATTCACAGTTTTGTGCATATGATGCCAAAGTTTAAGTGTGTACATTGTTCTGATTTTCTTTTGGATTTTCCTCACTTTTTCTCAGAAACCAAACGGACCATAATTAGGTAAATCATTGCCATAACCAAGAAAATCAGACCCTGTATATTTACAAACACGCGTACAACGATATATATACATAGCAGAGAGAGAGTATGTAACTGAAGCAGCTCTGAAGGCTTGTGGCTTGTGGCTTCGACTCTGAAGCAGCTTTGAAGGCTTTGAATCTATGGATTTTAGGGTTTGTGACTTACAGACTTTGAGAGCCGCATAGAGAGTCTGATTCTGAGAGAGAGGAGGCAAGAGGATGCTCTGTCGAAAGGCTTCGAGTTTGATCGATTGATTTGGGATTTAGGGTTTGTGACTTGAGAGGCGCATGCGCATAGAGAGTCTGAGAGAAAGAGGAGGCGGCAGTAAGGGATTTTAGGGTGCTTGTGGCTTCGACTTCAATCGATGGAGAGGCAGAGAGAGGCGAGAGTCTCTGAGACTCGAAGAGGAGGAGGAGGAGGGGACGATCGAGGGAGAGACTGGACTCTCTGAGAAAGAGGAGAGGCGCTAGGGATTTTACGGTTCTGAAACGAAGCAACAGATCGCTCTTTCTTTCCCCCTTTCTCTCTCTCGCAGTTCTTCAACATATGGTTCGAAATCCTAACGGCTACAATTTAATAAAACCTACTCCTAATATAGGGAGCGTGGAACCGTTGTAACTTATAAGCAGAGTCGCAGCTGATGAAACATTCCTCTGGGCCGCCAAATTTTTAAGGCCCTAAAAAAATTTTAGGTTCAAATTTAATTAAATTAAAATTTATTTTTTAGGATATTAAATTTTATTTTATTTTGAGGGCCCAAGTAAAAGTTTTAGATCAATATTTAATTAAGCTAATTTATTTATTTATTTATTTGTTATCTATTATTTAATAGTCTCTTAATAAGTTAAGTTAAGTTAGTTTAAATCTAAATTGAGTTTGTTAAGAAATTTTTTTATTGACAATGGCAACATAAAAATTACTTGAGCGCCGTGACTTGAAATTTATTATTTTTTTTATTATACCAACTATTAGCCCTTGAATTGAATGAATGTTATTATGTAAAAAATAAATATAAAAGTTTAAATAGTATTTTTTTTTTATCTTAGAATAACTAAATAAATAATATCATATATTATCATCACAATATAATGGGGCCTCATCCAAGAAGTTTGCCTAAGGCCTCAATTTGCCTTGGACTGCCCCTAGAAATATCATTAATGTAATACATTACAATAGTAACAATAGTGGATAACAATTAAAAGTCTAACTTACTGATCAGACTTCTATTTTGATATACTGGTCATAAGATCTAAACAAGTCATCTCGAGAAGATGCCAATTTCTTATGAGTAATGGTATTTGGATTTAAAAATTTGATCGAATCTATTGACATAATAATGTGACTTAATAAGAATTATTGGATCAACATCAAGTTCCAATGTTTGATAAGGTCTACGGCCAATCCAGAGATCAGTGAATTAGGTCAACAAATTATGTCAAATTTTTAGATCCCATAGCATTGCTCATTTCTGATTACTAGAATTAGCATTGTGACATTTTATTGATACGGCAAAGGACCATTGGTGAATACAATAGAAACTACAAAGAGTAAAAAAAAAAACACCAAAGCATACACGGCAAAACAAAAGGACAATCTCTCATTCACCGACTTTCTCCATATACTTCTGCTTTTCCTCTTCAGTCATGAAAGCAGTGATTGGAAAAGACTTTCCGATGCCCACCGGCGTTTTGAAATGGATTTTTTTGTAATCAGGACCTTCGAGGCTCATCTCAACAATGGGTACCCATAAAAGGAGCTGCTTGCTCTTGACACCAGTCATCTTCTTCATTTTGGACTTCTCTATGTATGCAGTCACCTCTGTGCCGTAGCTGACAAGGGTATTAGTCCCAACACAGAAGTGCTGAAATGGAGCCTTTTGTTTCATCCATACAAATCCAGTTTCACGTACTCTTCCACACTCTTCAAGGTTCTGGAGGGGAAGGACACCTCTGGGGAATCCCAGCTCTTCAAGGAGAGCTATCGATTGACGGTAACACGCTTCAGCTCCGTACACAATCTCTCCTCCTGCACGCCCATCTTCACGTGACTTGTTGCTAGCCATTTCTGCAACAGGATTTAGAAAATGGGGATGCTCAAGTGTGTTGGGCAATGGAGAATTATGGCATGGGGGTTTAAATATCTGAAGGGGAAAGAAGAATGTAAAAGTTGTTGGCTGGAAGTTGAACTGAAAAGGCTTAGTTGCAAGGTTTGTTTACCTAACAATCTGTAAATGACATAAAATCTCTATGGCAGGTGCTTTCAATTCCTAATATTTGAAGAAAACAATAGTCTCGTGACCTTAACAGGAACGATTGGAAATGTCCCTTACATGAGTACTCACTCACGCACTGTGACTCTGTCTAATAACCCCTTGTGTTCCCTTTTTTAGTGTCGTTTATTTGGATTATCCTGGGAAGTGAACTGAAGGTGCATCTAGATTGCTAAATATAGGTGGATAAATAAAATAGGATTGGATATACAAGCAGGTGGTACACCGTTATCCCATGTTTGGAATGCAAAAATGATGCCTGAAAATTCCACTCGTGTTATAACCTACCTGACTCGAGTTGAAAAGCCAACATTAGTTAAATGAAATCCAGGGGAGGGACGGGATATTTTTAATCCAGACTGGATATCTATGCAAAATTACCAAAAAATGCCCAATCCTAGCCATTAACGTATCTCTCGCCCATCTGCTTCCTCAGTTCAACGTCCTTGGTTCATCAGTCCATCGTTGTGTCTCTCTTTGTATGCGTAAGGTAAGTTTGGATCCTTTTTCTACTGCGTTTCTTAAATCCCATTTCTACTATAAAGACCACAAATTTGTGCATTAACAAAATCAAAGGTATGATTTTTTATTCGAACTAGATTAATAAGTTTCAGATCTAGGCTTCTCAACTCGATTTTGTACTCAGAACTAGATTTTAAAGTTTTAGATATGAGCTCCTCTAGTCGATTTTGTAATCAAACTATATTTTTAGGTTATTACATCATCTAAACATACCCTCATTTTTTATGAATGAATTGTCGAGCTTTTGTTTGGTAGGGTAGATAAAAAACATCAGCAGATAGAAAAGTAAAATCGATACATTTTTCATCTTTCAGAGGTAAAATCTTTTCCTCTATCTTTTGTGTTTGGTAAGAGAGATGAAAAGTATGAATGATTAATTTTTTTTGTATTTGGTAAAATATAACAAGTATTTTTTTTTTTTAAAGCATAAATACATATTTTTATCATTATATCTATAGATAAAATTAATGTATACATAATATGTAATTGATAAATATGATATATAAATAAATAACATACATTTTAATACACATAATTAACTTTACATCCACTTTTCTTCTTAATTTTGGAGGGATTAATTTTGATAAGTTGAAACGAATGTTAATTCATCCATTTTTTCTATCGTTTTTATTATTCTTTTTTATTAAATATGATATTTTATCTATCATTCTAATTTTTTTATTTTTTTTCATCGCACCAAACGAAGCATAAGAGTATATTCGATTTGGAAGCTCATAGGATTTCATTAGGCCAGGCCGAAGCCTTCTGCCCCCACATTTGAGGCAGCATCTTGGGTTCCTTCCGCAAGACCCAAAAATATTATTCATTAGACTCATATAGGGAAATCCAAAGGGAAAAAAATGAAATAAAACCACTGTAAAGATTTTTTATTTTTTTGAAGCCCTTCGACATCGGTAATAAACAAATAAATACTTCTAACAGCACTAACCTAATATTTTTATATTTATATCTAAGGTTAACAACATTTTTGTCCCTGAAGTATGTTCACTTTATTAGTTTGGTCTTTAATGTATTAATTTTATCAATTTGGTCTTTAAAATATTCAATTCGTGTTGAAAGAGTTCTTACATAGGTGGACCGTTGATTTTTTTTATGGAAATGATCACATAACGTTAGAAAACTAACGACCTGTTTGTGTAAAAACTATTTAATTACTAATTGACAATTTTAGAGACTAAATTAACAAAATTAATACATTGAAAACCAAATTGACAAACCAAAAGTGCTATTATATCTATCTTTTTTAGCAGTTATTGAGAGCTAAAAATCATTTTTTTTAAAGAAAAATTGTTATGAGCAGTTGTTATAGGATCAATTTAGGAATGCTGATAGTAATAACATGACCATCGAGAAGAATTTAATTGGAAGAAGTTAATTTTTCTAATTTAATTCAATAATTTTTAGGGTTAATTGTAGATGTCTCTAAAGTATAGCGTTTGTCTCATTTTAATTTTCAATATTTCAATTGCATCATTTTAGTTATTAAAATATTGAATATATTTTTATGTGATCCATCAAAATATCTAGATTGCTAACGATTTTTTATTATAAATTTGTCACGTAATACTTAAATATGAGTAAAAAAATAATTTAAATAAATCTTAACTAAATTTCTACCAAAATTTTGGTCAAAGATCTACCCAAATTACACATTAATGATTATGAGATATCTAAATTTTGGTCATGAGCTATCCATATTACACATTTTTTATCAAAAGCTACCCAAATTTTGGTCAAGTGCTCACCAAATTATTTTTTGCCCATATTTAAGTATCACGTGACAAGTTTATGATACAAAACAGTTAGTAATTTAGATATTGTCTGCTTGAAAATCATATAAAATCGTATATAATATCTCAAGGACTAAAACGATGAAATTAAAATATTAGAGAGATCAAAATGAGACAAGAGGCCTCCAATGTAATTAAACTTAATTTTTAATCTCTTACTCACTGTTATTTTTGTTTTAGGTTTTTTGGGTATGAGTATATTTTTTTAGACTTATATGAAAGGAAGTGTATGAAAAAATATTTTATTCAATTTTAATAAAAACATCTTTGAATTGGGTACAAAATTCAAATGACATTTAATTTTTTTTACTTATTTACCCTCCATTTTTATTAAATTATGTATAATTCTTATTCTTTTACACACTTTTTCACCCCTATTTTCTCTTAATCTCTCTCTCCCTCTTCCATTACTCTCTCACTATCTCTTCCCTATTTTTTTCTCAATCTATTTCTATCTCTCTCTGTTACTCTCTATCTCTCCTCTATTTTCTCTCTCTATCTTTCATTGACAATTTATTTTATTTTCACATATGTAAAATTTAATTTGATTTTTTCATTTCTCTATCCCCTATTTCTCTCTCTCCACTTTGTCTCCTCTATTTTCTTTCACCAATACGCTTTCTCCTTATTTTCTCTCTATATCTTTCTTTAAATCAACATTACAACAATGTAATTACACCAATGAACAATTACTCATATGTTATAATAAATCAAACAGTTACATCAAATAATTACATAAAATTATGACACCAATTCAATTTATCATTCAGTTGTTTAGATAAACTTTTGAGTTGCATTATTCAATATCACGACATGGTTACACCAATTATATACATTAAACTCTATCTTTCTTTATATACACAACATGGTTACACCAATTAGTATAACCATGGTGTGATACGAAAATGGTGTAACTATTTGGTTTATATAAACAACTGATGACAAATTGAATTGGTGTTATAATTTCATGTAATTGTTTAGTGTATTATAGGATAATTATATTTATTGTAACATTGATTTAAAGAGAGAGAATAAGAAGAAAAAAAGTAACGGTGGGAGAAAATAGGTGGAGAGATAATGAGAAAAGAAAAAAAATAGATTAGGGATGAAAAAATTAAATTAAATCTTTACATATTTGAAAAAAGAATATCAATGGGAGTGAAGGAAAGAGAGAGAGAGAGAATAGGGATAAATAGAGAGAGTAACAACAAGATAGATAAAGAAAAAATAGAGAAGAGACTGTGAGAGAGTAACGAAGAGAGGTATAAATTAAGTGATAAATGGCATTTTCGGCACATTGTATTATATAAATTAATTGTTAAATTCTATGAAGCATGAATACTTCGTTGAGGTTAACGTACCCGTATTGAATACGATACTCATCAGATACTTGAGATTACGTATCAGATACATCTTATACGTATCAAATAATAATTAAATATCAGTATACTTCACGGATACTTTTATAGTCGAGTAACATATATAATTTTTAGTTGAACTTTTAATATTTCTTTTTGAATTCACATACCATATAATACATTAACAAAAAATTTACATTACTTCAAAGGTACTTGAGTGTTTTTTTAAGTATTATCTACAATTACATGTTAAAAGAGCATAGAATAAATCTATTACAGTATAATCTTAACAAAAATTACTTCTAAATATTAGGTAAATATTAGTTTTGATTTTTTTAATTAGTCACTTCGCTTTGTGAATATATCACAATGATACGATATATATTTTATTGAAACTAAAAAGAATTACTAATTTTACTTATTATAAGTTAAAGAACTACAAAAATATATAAGTATGAAGTTGGTTAAAAATAATAAAAATATTAAATATATTTTATTATAGCCGTACTAGTATCCTAGTTTTTTTAGATTTTATCATATCGCCATATCCGTATCGTATCGTACTCGTATCCTATATCCGTATCCGTAATTCATTGGTAAAATTTATAGGGATTAGATTACAAATTTTTTGGTTAATTGTGTAAATTAGTGGTTAAGTTCATAATTATTAGATATTATTGAGTGGAACTGTATTTTAAGAATTACCAAAATTGATTCGTAGAAATGTTTGGAAGTGTTGGTGTTGAAGCAAAGTTGTCCTACTCATACATCTTTGTTGTAGCATTTCGTCGACCGCCTCAAAACTCGTATTCCCTCACCACCTTCTCTAATCTCTAGTAGTTGCTTCTTGGAAAACAACAGATCTCTCTGTGTCTCCGACTGTTCGGGAAGCTCGGAGTGTCAAATTGCATCGGAGCCAAGCTCTATTTCTCCTTCGGTACAATGTCGACTTCCAACACAGAACAATCCGAATTGCAAAACGGAACCAGCGGACCCCAAGCACCGGCTTCTGACTCCGATCCCAACCCCACTGAATCCAAAGACATCTCGATCCAATCAAACGACGAACCACCGGCTGACTCCGAAGCTTCCAAGCCCGACGAATCCAAGGACGGTTCTACCCAATTGACCCAAGTGCAACCAACCAACGAAGAGGAGTTGAATCCCGGAGATAAACCCATCCAATCTGATGTTGCGCCGGTAGTGGATGTTGATTCAGATCCCAAGATCGACGAACCGGAATCGAACAATGCAAGGGAGCTGCGAAAAGATGAAGGGAGCAGAACCTTCACGATGAGAGAATTATTGAATGAATTGAAGAACGGAGATGGAAATGAAGATTCGGAAGCCGACAGGCGAGACCCTGGTACTCCTTACAGGTCCGTTTTCGAATGTGATTCTTATCTCAGTCTATATTGATACTAATTTTGTGCACGAGGGATCAAATTAGCACATTAGATCTCGTTAAACAAAAAGTGTATCTAACTGGTAAGACCCAATTAGACTTCGAAGTGATACGCCATAGGGTCAGAGTGGAAGTGAGTACTTTTACCGAAGAAACCCAACAATGAAAGAGCCTGTTTTGAGCATACCTACTGCACGGGATAGATTCTGTAATTTCGTGAGGTAGCGATCCCTTGACTAACAAACCTGAAAAAACGGGGTTAGAGGAAAGGGGGCCAGGCGTGAGGCCAGCCAATCCCCTCCGAAGCTTAAGTCAGTAAGATCAAAGAGATGTTTCTTAGTCAAGGAGCTATGGTTTGATTTTGCGTACCTTTGTCTATTTTTTTGAGGGATATTTATACCTGAATTAACAATGATTGCTCTAGATCTTCAGTCCCATCTGGACATCTCATATCTGACCCACCATCCCTCGTGCTGTGAATGATTCCCCTTTACGCCTCCTCGCCTCCTTGAATTGAATGCTCGGGGAATGGTATAAGTACTCGGCCGCAAGCCGAACATTTATAATACGAGCCGAGCAGCCCAATCCAAGAGGTCGGTGTCTAACACCGACAGGGCACGGATTACTCGGTGGATCAGAGAACTCGGAAGAACCAATCGCGTTGTTTCGGCGCATCAGTCATTAATGCTCCAGTCATCATGACAGTAGGCATAGACTTGCAGAGAGTAGTTGGTGACAGCCTCGCATTTATTTGTCTTATCACTATCATTCATCTCGCCATAAATGCGAGGTCACATCGCTTTGACTATGATGCCAGCTGTTGTACTCGGCCACTCTGTGTCATCATGCCTCGGCTCACCCCCTTGGCATCTTTCAGACATCCTAATGATTTTATTGGGCCACGTGTCACCCTGGGAGTTGAGGATCCACACAGGAGTCCTGCCAACTGCCCCCTAGCTGCAATCCCTTACGCGGCGCTCGACAAGTGGAGTGAAGGGATTGAGGCTCTATCACCATGCCTCATTAACGGTGACGGTTGCTTGCACATCTGGTGCCGCCCTTTTCAAATGCCCTAATGATGAGTCAACTCCTCGATTCTCGCTCCTTATGAGGCACTATAAATAGGGGGTTTCTTTGCCTTCTAAGAACTTTTGCATCCTTCATCTCTCCTCAGCAATCAGACCCCGAGTGCTCCCTTATCCTCCGAGTTTCCCTGGTTCCCCAAGTTCTCTTCGAAGACCAACCTCCTGTAAGTACTTCCACTTGAGCTTTTTCTCTCTCCGTTTCTTTTACATTTCGCCCTCTTAGCTCTCACCGATGGCCAAAACCAGTAGAACTAGGGGGGACACGTCTGTTAGGGCCAGTTCTACCCACAAAATGAGGAGAACCCAAGTAACAGACGAGAACATCCACACCTTTAGGGTCAGGTACCATATTCGCGAGCCTGTCTTCACCTTTCCCTTCAACCCTACTCACCATAGGAGGGACATGGGAAGTGAGGATATGATGCCTTTCTGGACGAAGGCCATCATGGAAGGAGGGTTGACCTTCCCCCTCCATCCCCTGTTACTGGACGAAGTCTTGATGCAATTGAAGCTCTTTCCCCTTCAGTGCGGGGTTAACTTCCTTTAGGATTGTGATGGGCGTAGTCGCCTTAAACACTCGGCTTGGGAATAACTTGGGGGTAAACGAAATTTTGTTCTGCTATGACCTAAGGCTAGTTGCCGGGGGACGATATTACCTCCAAGCCCGAGATCCCTCGATGTATCTGGTAACCCACATGCCTGACTCGGACAAGGGGTACGTGGACGATCTGATCATGCTCGGCGACGGTTGGAAGAAAGGGACCGGGCCCGAGTATGACGGATTGTACTGCCCCAAAGTGCCGAGGGATGAAGGTGTGTTTTCGTTTCGACTTCTTGATTTACATCTTTTTTTTAGGTCCGAGGGACATACTGATTTTTGCTCTGTTTTCGCAGAAGGATATCGTCGGGACTCTGCTCAACCGCTGAGGTCTCAAGTTCGGTTCGCTGATCTGCTAAAGGTTTGGTCCTCGGACCCGGTTGAATGAGTGACGCACACCCTCCTCGGCTATACGCCAACCTACAACCAGTTCTCCTAGATCCCTCCTCCTGTTAACCCTTCCGTTTGGGAAGATCACTCCTCGTCGGAAGAGGAAGAATCTGAGGGTGGTTCAGAAGAGGAGTCTTCTTATAACGCTACCGAGTCTCTTACATTCGACATGTTTAATCCACTACCCATCACCGCAGCAACCATGGAGGTCGCCGCCTCGACAAGGAGAACCAGGCTCGCAGGCTTGGCCGGGCCTTCCAATCCGGCGCCTATCATTCCTCAACCTCATCCCCCTCAAAAGCAGCCACCGTCGTCGCGCGCGCAACCCAGAGATTTGGCCGTGCCGATCAGGCAGAGGGCCCAACCTCAACAAGTCCAAATTCCAGTAGACTGACAGAGGGACAGGCGTGCCCGAGAAACCGAACAACATGAAGAGCGCCGTGTAAAGCAGCGACATGATGTCGCGGCCCCGGGGCCCTCCGTCTCGGGAGAGTGGGTTGGTCGGACCGAGACCAGAAGCGGCCGACTCGTTTTGGAAGCCGATTCAATCCTCCAATCTCCCGAAGTGGCCTTTACTGTCGCGGGGATGCTTCAGTTTGAGGCCCACATGGCCGTGTACAAGGGTTATTCGGACAACTGNACGACCGAACGCTTGACTCGTGTTTGTTTCGAGAGCGTTGCTCCAACAGTGGAGTCCTACACCCCTCGGGGCCGTGCTCCCAACGACTGAGCGCTTGGCTCGTGTTTGTAGCACCATAAAGACTGAAACCAGATTTAGTAATAGTTTTTTTTTAAATTTGATACATTCCATGGTCGAATTACATCATCACCATCCATATTTTGTAAACGATATGCGCCAGTNCGAGCACCCTCCAAAACACCTTGGTGGTAAGTTGATCGCCTCCCCGAGTAGCTATTATTCCCCTTTGGTCGTTTACTAATATTCCTCCTCTTTCAGGCTAGCCAGCAGGTGGGAGACATCATCGAACGCTTTTGGGAATACAAGCAAGAGACGAAGAACGCCGAGCGAGCCGCAGCCGCCAAGGACGACCATATTTTGAAGGTCGAGAGGACCCTCGGCGATCAGACCAAACACATTGCCGAGCTCATCCGCCAGCGAGACGCCATTCATGCCGAGCTGAATGAGGCCAAGGCGGGCGAAGCTGCAGCGATGAAATAGTCCGAGGAGTATGAGCTGTGCGTATCCTCCTCCGAGTCTAAGCTGCAAGAGTCCGAGTCTGTGATTAACGCTTTTACTGCCAAAGTGGACTCCTTGACAACAGAAAAAGCGGGAGAGCAGGAGAGGTTGCAATCGGAGTATCTGAGGGTGTGGTCGGCCACTCAAGACCAAATGGTCTCCGCTTTTGAGGAAACCAAGAAGAAGGCTTTCAAAGAGGGTTGAGATGTCGCCCTTCACGCCTGTCACGTCGAGGTTAGGTCGGACTTGTTTGCCAGGAATAGCTTCCGAAGCGAGACCGATGACGAGGCCCTGAATGAACAAGTCCGCCCCAACCTCAGCGCCCCTGCCGAGGCTGAAGGGCCGGTGGGTGAACCCATCACACTCAGCGACGGATCTGATCAGCCTTCTCCTGCCCTTCCGTCATTGCCTTCGGCTGAGCCAACAGATGAACCATTCTCTCTGCCCCCCATCATTAGTGGAGTGCATGACACCGAGCAGGACGAGATATCGGGGGCTGGAGATGGGTTACAGAGCCGATGAGGGGGCCACGGTGGGGAGGGAGCCGGTGATGAATGAATGAGTCGAGGATCTGAGCAGCTAGTCCATTTTTGTAATTTTGCAGCTTTGTACTGAGTTTTGTTAGTTTGTATGCCTGGGGACGCAAAGTCCCTTTTCTATAATGAATTCTGATTTTTAATCAATATGTTTTTTTCTATTGACTGTATTTCTAGGAAACAGCCACGCGGAGCTCGCTATTGGGTTTTTAGGACACGAGCGCTTGGCCCGTGTTTCTTTCGAGAGCGTTGCTCAAGGGGTGGAGTCTTACACCCCTCGGGGTCGTGTCCCCAAGGACCGAACGCTTGACTCGTTTATTTCGAGAGCGTTGCTCCAAGAGTGGAGTCTTACACCCCTTGGGGCCGTGCCCCCAACGACCGAGCGCTTGACTCGTTTGTTTCGAGAGCGTTGCTCCAACGGTGGAGTCTTACACCCCTCGGGGCTGTGCCCCCAACGACCGAACGCTTGACTCGTGTTTGTTTCGAGAGCGTTGCTCCAACAGTGGAGTCTTACACCCCTCGGGGCCGTGCTCTCAACAACTGAGCGCTTGGCTCGTGTTTGTAGCACCATGAAGACTGAAACCAGATTTAGTAATAGTTTTTTTAAAAATTTGATACATTCCATGGTCGAATTACATCGTCACCATCCATATTTTGTAAACGATATGCGCCAATGCCCCCCACGGAGATTACCTTGTAGGGACCCTCCCAATTAGGACCAAGTTTTCCATCAGTGGGCTTGCGCGTATTCCCTACCACTTTTTGCAGTACCAAATCTCCGACTTGGAATTCCCTCAATCGAACTTTTTTCTAGTGCTGTCGTGACAACTCCCCTTGGTACTTTGCCAGCTTGATGGACGCCAATGATCTCCTTTCCTCGGCTAGATCGAGATCCCTAGCGAGGGTTTGATCATTATTTGCCAAACTCGAAGGCTCGGCTCCGTATTGTTGGGAGTCCTACCTCCAATGGGATTACCGCCTCGACCCCATATGTCAGGGCGTACGGGGTTTCTCCCGTTGAAGTCCTCGGTGTGGTCTTGTATGCCCATAACACGTTAAGTAACTCTTCGGCCCACCTTCCCTTTGCTGCCTCGAGTCTCTTCTTGATTCCTACCAGCACAGTTTTGTTGGATACCTCAGCCTGCCCATTACACTGGGGATAGGTTAGCGTAGAATAGTAATTGCATATTCCGTATCCTGAGCAGAA